TTCCGATCTTGGACTCTGGCTGCCTTTACAGAAGACCTCTACAGAGGACCGTCCCTACCAAATCTCAAAAAATTAATTAAAATAAAGGCTTGTGAATCATAGAAATGCTTATTAGACACTGTAGCATCTGTGTTGGAAGTTAATCTGACAGCAGGAAGATCAGTATGATCTAGCTGACAGTTCAGTGACATTGTACGGAGGAAACTGATTGCTATCAAACATTGTAAATCAACTGTAAATGTCGCTGATATGTTTACTAAGGGCTTGAATGAAGTACAATTCTTGAACCTTAGGGGGAGACTCAACATGATCCTTCCTACTGCAGCTTAAGGGGGAGTGTTGGAAGTTAATCTGACAGCAGGAAGATCAGTATGATCTAGCTGACAGTTCAGTGACAGCTACCTGTCAGCAGGTGGACAGATAAACTAGTTCTGACCGGTTATGGCTGGCACTGGACAGTGTGCAGTCACCATGACTCAGCTTGTTGCTGATTGGTGCTACTATGTATATAAGTCTGTACAGAAGCCATGTACGTTCTCTTCGGAGGTAACAAGCGTCTGGCGAAGCATTTTGACTGTATATTCTGTGAATAAACCCTTGTATATAGTGTACCACTGGACTGTGCAGTGTGGTTACTATAGAGGGGCAGAACAGCAAAGAACTGGTAAGAGCTGGGAGGCTGGGAAGTCTGCTAAGGTGCTGCCTTGGCTTAGACTGGTCTGTGGACCACTACACACGCTCTGCGCAACAATCTGGGTGCCTATGAGCCAATTTTCAATCCCTCTCTCAGTCGTTGTACTTTGCTCTGTGATTGCAGAGATGGAGTTTAGACTCAAGGGCCAGAGGAAGGTTATACTCCTTCTGTTTTAAAGACCAGAAAAAGATTATACTCCTTCTGTTCATGGAAGTCAGAGACTGAGGACCTGCAGGGATCTTGTTTCTACCCTCCTGCCAGGAAGTTCTCTGATCCAACTGCCAGTTGCTCAGGGATGGTTGAAGTCAAAGGAGGATCCTCTGATTCTGCCACCAGCCAGAGGTCTGTGAGTGGCTAGTTTGCATCAAAGCTACAGTATTTTTTAAAGTGCACAAATGGCTCATGAAAACAATAGACAATATAAGGCCATTGTGGACCCACAGACATAAAAGGGAGCGAAGGCACGGGATGAAACAACCAGACAACAGGTGCTTGGAGAATTTAAAAGGCCACAGATTTACTGAATACAACACAGGAGCATTGGCACAGCATGGAGACGTTTCCTGCATAGTGACCCGCCTACCATCTGATGAACCCCACACCCCCAGCTTGCCTGCTAGGGGGTGTAACTGAAGACTGGCAAACCCCAGGAGCCATGCGGTGGTGAAAGCCCTGCCAACAGTTCCTCAGCTGGGTATGCTGCTGAATTGCTCCACCCGAAGACCCCTTAAGGGAGTCCCCAAATGTGAGATGTGAGCATGCAGGTACCACCTCTCCAACTGAAATGATCTGCCCAATGCCCAAACTTCCCGAGCTGTGACAATAAAATGACAATCATAAAGAGTAACAAGATCCATAACAACCAAAGCACAGGGAGAGTGGGTGGAAAAATACATGAAAAATCAGGGCTGAGTTCCAGGAGTCAGCATTCTTAAATAGGGGCAGGGAAGGGCAGGCAAGGTCCTGAAGACCACCCTCTGCCCTGCCTCCCCTGGCATGAGCCCCCACACACAGGGGGTGTTCTCCCACAGCCCCTGGACTCATCCACTGCTTTGGCCATGCAGCATGAAGAATGCCAACTGCATGGCCGCTGCCTGCTTCTCCCCCCATGCCCAGAGCCCACAAAGGCAGATACGGGGTAAGGCTCAGATGAGTCTTATTTGTTTATGTTTCAGTAGTTGAACCCAACGATATCTACTTTTGAAATACTGTGTGTACAATCAATGCATAAACTAAGTTGCATTCATTAGGAAACTTTGATATGTAAGCATAAAAATTCAAGCAAGCCTTAAAGGACACAATCCAGCCAAGGTTCTGAAAAGTGCCACATTTCATAGCAATAACTACTGACATGCGTAAGTCTCTCCCATCAACATTAAAGGGACTTAATAGTGTTGAAAGTGGAGGGCTGTGCAATGCTCCTTTGCACAGAGCACACCAGTGCTTCAGAGAAGGCAGAAGAGCCAGCCAGGCTAGAAAGATAATTTCCTGTATCCCTTCATCTGCTCTGCTAGGCTACAGTCAAACACACTAAATAATCCACTTTCAATGCACTTTCCAACTGGATTTTGCCAGTTCACACAGTAAAATCTAGTTGTAAAGTGCACTGAAAGTGGATTGAAAGTGAATTATTTAGTGTGTGCGACAACAGCCCTACTGTCTCTTTGTATACTCAGAATGCTGCTCATAGTGGTTCCTTCCTTCCAGTTAATTCCTCATGCTTCTCTCCCTAACTGCTATGAGGGCAAAAGGTGCTTTCTGCACTCTCTCTCCATCCTTGTGTTGACAGGAAGAAGGAGGAGGAGGAGTCTTGGAGCAGCTTACAATCACCTTTCCTTCCTCTCCCCACAACAGACACCATGTGAGGTAGTTGGGGCTGAGAGAGTTTAGAATATTGTGTATAGTTCTGGTCACCACACCTCAAAAAGGATATTATAGCATTACAAAAAGTGCAGAAAAGGGCAACTAGAATGATAAAAGGATTGGAACACTTTCCCTGTGAAGAAAGGTTAAAGCGCTTGGGGCTCTTTAGCTTGGAGAAATGATGACTGGGGGGTGACATGATTGAGGTCTACAAGATTATGCATGGGATAGAGCAGGTAGAGAAAGAAGTACTTTTCTCCCTTTCTCACAATACAAGAACTCAATGAAATTGCTGAGCAGTTGGGTTAGAACAGATAAAAGGAAGTACTTCTTCACCCAAAGAGTGACTAACACATGGAATTCACTGCCACAGGAGGTGGTGGCAGCTACAAGCATGTTCAAGAGGCTTCAAGAGGGAATTAGATAAACATATGGAGCAGAAGTCCATCAGTGGCTATTAGCCACAAGGTATAGATAGGAACTCTTGGTCTGGGGCAAGTGATGCACTGTATTCTTGGTGCTTGGGGGGGGCAACAGTGGGAGGGCTTCTAGTGTCCTGGCCCCACTGCTGGACCTCCTGATGGCACCTGGTATTTTTGGACACTGTGTGACAGAGTGTTGGACTGGATGGGCCATTGGCCTGATCCAACATTGGCTTCTCTTATGTTTTTGGCTGATTTCGCACTAGAGCTACCTCGCTGTTGCACCACCGTTTGCCCCAGTTCTATTGGTCAATTTCACACCCGAAGCTGTGCGGCTGATTTTGACCTGCGGCTTCACCCGATTTCCCCCGCAGTTTCCTGATCCTGTTTTTTGAGGATCAACAAAACTGTGGAGGAAATTGGGCAAAGGACACAATCCAGCCAAGGTTCTGAAAAGTGCCACATTTCATAACAATAACTATTGTCAAAATAAGCTGTGCGGCTTCGGGTGTGAAATTGACCAATAGAACCGGGGCGAACAGCAGCGCAACAGCGAGGCAGCTCTAGTGCGAAATCAGCCCTTATGTTCTCTAAGAGAGCTGTGACTGACCCAAGGTTACCCAGCTGGCTTCATGTGGAGGAGTAGCGAATCAAACCTGGTTCTCCTCCTTAGAGTCCTGCTGCCCTTAAGCACTACACCAAACTGGCTCTAGACAGAATGCCTATCCTGCTTTTCCTATCAAAACATAGAATATCTTTACAATAAAGGACTTATATTTCTTTTTAAAGCTAGAAGACACATGTGAACTTTATTCTGTAAGCAGCATCCCCCTTCCACAGAGAAAACCACACTTTATTGCTAACAAATAGTGCCCTATATTCCTAAAGAAAAGAGTATACCCAGAGAACTCCAGGAAATTGCAAATGATTTTTAAATTTATACTATCAGAGTACCCTGTCAGAGGTGATATTGATAATGATTGCTGTTCATTTTGGGCATTTACACTTTTCTCCTTCTCCAGGGAGCCCAAAGCAGCTGGCATATAGATGCTGGACAGTCTTCCATCAAGGCAGTTTATAGGGCTAAATCTGGATATGATGATAACTATGCAGATTATTTTTGACAAATGCTGTAAATAGCATTGGGCATAAACTTTCAGTTACCTTCACACTCATGCTTCACAAGGAAGGTCCCAGCTCGCCAAGGCTTCTGATTAAATCCAGGGCAGCACCGATCACAGCTTTCTCCACATGTGTTGTGTTCACATGCACATGATGATCTCTAGATTAAGTGTAATAGAAAGTTAAAAAACTAGCACAGCTTACAAATGCAAATTGTTTATCTGTCCATCCATCTACCCAACATACACATGTACTCATAAGTGTGTAAAAACAAAATCACAGATAGTGCCCATGTACACAGATGGATTAGATAGGTCTTTGTAAAAAGAATAAGTCTCTCAACTTAAATCGGGCCAATTAAAGGATACAGGACATGGAGGTGTGAAGTAAGGGGGTGTGAAGCCTCTTCTTGTCTATCCTATGGCAGCCTCAGTTTCAATGGTTGTGTGGTCACAGTTTGAGCAAACAGAATATAATCCACCAATCCCATGTTGTTCTCAATTGGAAAGTTTACCACTTGGGCATAGAGAAAGACTGGACTGAGCTGAAACAGCAGCCATACCATACAGGTCATACTTGAATGTACATACGTTGTGTGCAGAGCTGAAGCACTATGCTTCAGATCAAAAGGAAATAATACTTTACACAGATGTGAAATTTGTGAAGGCCACAGGAATACACTGCTTTAAAAGTGGATTATATAGATTCATAGTGGGTAAATCTATCAGTGGCTACTAGCCATGGTGACTGAGGGGAACCTCCACATTCAGAGATACACAACTCTGATTCCCAGAGCCGGGAGGCAACTTTAGGGGAAGGCCTCAGCCTCTATGCCCTCCTGTTGGCTTTCCAGAGAAACTGGTTGGTCACTGTGTGAGACAGGATGCTGGACTAGATGGTCTGATCCAGCAAGGCTCTTCTTATTTTCTTATCAACACCAGGCCATATGCCGCTGCCAACAGAGAGAATGCACAATTTTTCACACATAACCTGATACGGAATGTAAGATAATACTCGTGTCACTGCATTGCTTTATGAAAGCTGCTTGGCTGGAACTTTCAGTAGTTTGATACTGTGGATTACACCATTTTTTTTTAAAAAAAATGAATGACATCTAGTTGGGATGTATGGAACTGGTGTTCCAGTAATTTCACTCCTATCTAGATAACTTTTTTAAAAAAGGTTCAATCTAGCAGTATATTTCCACTAACTTTTTCCCCCCTGAATCCCTCGTTTTGCAGATTCACCACTCATGTTGTTTCTGGAGGTTCTCTCCCCCCAACAGCAGCATCTTGAGGAGCTCTTTGGCCTGCAGCAAGGTGGGGGATATGAGAAAGTCTCATTCTACTAATGGAAATGTCTTCTAATTGATCCAACCATAAAAGTGATCACTGGTGGTGCCAGCTTATTGTCTTTAGAGTTGTGCTTCAGAGTACCACAGAGCTGTTAATACCAATGATATTTAATATTTAGATAAAGCCACTGCTAATCCAGAGACAGTACAGAGTTTGGGGCCTGGGTGTCCTCAGCATGTGGATGACACTAAAATCTGTCCAGGAAGAAGTGCAGAATGTAAATTTAATAAATTACCGAACAGGCTGAAGCTGAATCTAAAGATGGAGGTATTAATTTCCCATAATAAAGAGCTTTTAAAATTGTATATGTTTATTGTTTCTGTTACTGGGAATGATTTATAAAAACAATGAAACTGTTAGGTACTTGACTATGCATCTTAAAAGCTAATTAAGTCATTGACTCCTCAAGGAAAACAAAATACATTCCAAGTAAACTCCCAATTCTCCAGACTTGCCCAGCTTGTCACTCAGTTCCAGCTACCTGCATAGAAAGTGTCACACTAACAGGCATAAAATATTTGCAGACAGCTGTTAAATGGATAGCATTTGTTTGTATAAGGTACATATTGATAAATATAATGAAAGGCTTACTGATGGTGTTCAAATTGTATAAATAAATACATTTTCCAAGCATATGTCATACCTCCACGGTTTAGAAAATGAATGAGAAATAAAGAGGAAATCTTTTGCTGCTAGTATATTGACAGATTTTAAGTTCTATTGTTCTTTTCTAATATTATTTTACCCAAGTACTGGATAAGGGAATTTGTGTTTACAAGGCTTAATCCGGACAATTCAACTATTGCAACCCCATTTATCTCAGTAAGAAAGTTAAGTATGTTTGTGTTCTCTCCAACTGAAATCAATGGGTCTTTGATTTCAGCTGGATCACACACAGTACTGCTGTAGTGTTTCTCTGGTTAGAATGGCACAAAAATGGGATGTGTGTAACAGCTCTTTTTCAGTTGTAGATAATGCAGACAATGGGGAAAATGTTTTAAAATAACATGTCATCCTAAATAAAAAAGCAGGTTATGATTCACCATGACCACTTCAACAAGTACACTGAAGGGTGTACTATTTGGGCTGCACAGCCATGCTCTCCCCTCCCCCCTCCCCACAGTGTCAAATCTAATTACTCTATGATGGCTTCCAGTTTGTGTCTAAAATCAAGCAGATATTTTAGACATTATGGTAAAACTTACAGTTTTCCTACCTAGAAGTATAAGCCACAAGCATTTGTTCAATATGCTCTACTTAAGTAAGTGTCAATGTATTTTTTAAATCTGCTTTGCAGATTTCTCAATTTTCGTTGAATATTCAGAAACCAGAAATGTGAGGCAGAGAAATTTCCAGTGCTTTACATAAAGTAAACGACAATGAATGGATGCCATTGCCAATGGGAAAGCTTGGCAATTTCAGACTTGTAATGGTTTTTCAAGTGATTATTCCTAAGAGTGGTGCAAGAAAGTACATGTATGTTTTGTTGATTTGAAAATGGGGAAAGAGGGATTAAACCTTAAATGTATATAATACTCCAAATTTAAAAAAAATGAAGTTATGAATACACTTGGCTGCAGGTCAAATCAAAACTGAAGCTAAAATTCTTATTTATATGTGGGTGGAAGGGATATTGTAATCATCAGCTGCGTAAGAACCTAACCAGTAAAGCAAGTGATGCTATGGAGACTAATATTGAAACTAAGCTGATCCAATGTCTTCTTGAAATAGGACTCAAGAATTCTCCTGAAAGATATGAAATAGGATTCAAGAATTATCTTGAAAGAGACGAATAGACTACTAGAACCATCACATACAGTTCTTTTGGAATGCTGAAATTACTTTGTCAACAGCTGTCAGTACCTTTATATCATCTTTGTTTTTTACAAGCATTATTCCAATTAAAATAATTTCTACATAAAACTTTGAATTTGTTTTAATATAATATTTAAAACACACTTGGTTTATCTCCCTCTCAATCAAATATTTCTGTTCAAGTATTTGTTGCTCTAGGGACATGAAATTAACAGGAGGTACTTTTTAAATCTGTTTATTCAATATAAGTAAAAATAAACATGCTAAATCAGCTCAGACTTTACTTAGGGAACTGAAAAAAAAATCCAGTCCTACTTTTACTTCCACATTATTGTCTGAAACCCCAACATTTGAGTCTATATTGAAAATACGTAAGGATAGCCATAGTGTATCTTAAATGTAAAGTGACTTACCAGTCAATAAACTAATCTGCCATTTATTGGATTGAACATACTGCTGCAAGTGAAACTCCACTTAGGGACTGTACACCTCCCACTTTCTGCAGAAGCCCCCAGTCCCCCCCCCACCATTCCTGAGGGTGTGGATGATCCAGAAGAATGGTTTAAAATGTAGCATGGGCTGTCAATCATTTCAGCCTCTTGCATGACCAGAAGGGGAAGTGTGTATCCATTGTTAGAAGAAAAGTCTTTTATGTTTGACACATTTTATCTTTCGATGAATGGTATCAATATGGTTGATTTTGTTTATTAACTGGTTATCCTTTTCACACAAAATAGCCTATGACCCACCTTCAAGATTCTCCAAGATTCTTGTAATATGAAAATGTATGGAAAATTAATGAATCAACCAGTACATCAATCAAGGAAGCCATTTCTCCAGAATAAGCAAGAGCTCTCCTCATTCCAAAACCAAAACTCTACTGTTCCATAACATGGAGCTCTTCACATTGAACAATGGCGAAAAATTGTACTGAATATTGTGACTGATTTTAACTGTAAACATTTTGAGCACAGAACTGAATTAAAAGGAAGCCAAAAGAAGGAGGAGGAGGAGACAACAATATACACAGCAAGAATCCCACAAAAATACATTTGCAGTTCCCAATAACTTGGCTAGATCTTGAATTTCAGAATACCATCTACCAGTCAAATATCTGACTATAACAATTATTACTATTACTTTCATTACTAATAATGATAATGATAGTAGCAATACAATCATTAATGAATAAGTCATATTGAACTCAAAGTTCATAGGATTAAACTGGTCAAATCTTTAAAAGAACATTTAAAAAAAGCAAAATATTGTTTCAGAATGGCAGACATAAGATTAGAGTAAATGAAAAGGCCTTTTTTAAAAAAAAGAGCAACATAATGTTTAAAGTGTTTAGGAAAATACATACATTAGTAGCTGGATTCAGTGGGCATGCCCTTGCATGGCCATAACAGATGCACATTCCACCAACGGAGATATCTTTAATAGAATAATAATACTGCCAATAGAAACATAAATAAGTAAGTAAATAAACAGATAGACAACTGTAATTTTAACTATTTTGCAAAATGCAATTGTAATCCATTTTATAATTTAAGCAGTTTTGTGATAATAAATAGGAAAATATGAGTATTAATGTTTAATTTCATATGCACCTCTTCCATCATACTAATACCAGGTAAAAAAATATTGAATTACACTGTAAATAGAGGAGCTTTCTTGAGGAGGTTCTTTTGCATATGGATTGGCTGTTGGAATTCTAATCCTATCTGTAGTGGCTGAACATAGCCTAACTCAAACAGGACACAGTATCTTATTCCAAGACACTGAAAGGCTAGACAACACATCCAATCACCATGTCATATTACACAGGGAAACCATTGAAATTCATAAACATAAACACAATTTCAACAGGAACGAAGAGTTTAAAAATAAATAGGGTAGGGTTTCCTGTCCTGAAAAACAAAAAATGCTCTACATCTTACAATAGCACTACAGATAAGATTAGAATTTCAACAGCCAGTCCATATGCAAAAGAACCTCCTCAGGAAAGCTCCTTCATTAGCATGTCACACCCTGGGGAACGCCTACAAGATAATGACTCAGCCCTACCCCACCTTCCTGAGTAGATATAAATTACCTGCCTACCATTTTTCTTCTCATCTTGACACAGAGAGTACTCCATCTTTCTGTGTTATACCGCTGAAGATGCCAGGCACAGCTGCTGGCTAAACGTCAGGTCCTACAATGCCAAGACCACGGCCAGACAACCCAGAAAATCTACAACTAATGAACTGTGGCTGTGAAAGCCTTCCCTTTGTCAAATACTCCCTTTGTCAAATATGAAGAAGGGAGCTTTGACACCTGAAATCTTATATCCCCAAAATTCTGCTGGTCTCTAAGGTGCTACTGGTCTTGAATGTAGGTGTTCTACTGCAGATCAACATTGCTGCCCTCTGAAGCCAAGCATAACAGAGGTGCTGATGAACTTCATAGCTCTTTCTTTTGGAGAATGATCTTAAACTACATGGAAAGCCTGGATTCAAAGTGAGGTGAACCTCACAACTGTAAAGCACTGAATGCCTGATAAATTATTTCAGGCATTCTGGAATTTATATTCCCAGAATGCACTAGGTGCCTCTTTTTATTCTTCCTGCTACTCCTCCATCTTGTCTTCTGGGTATTGTAAGACATTCCAGGAACTGTAGTTCCCAGAACACCTAAGTTCAGTTATCAACAAGTGAGAACCTCCAACGACTTGTAGGAGGCATCTAATTTCCCATTCCTCCACTATTTCCTCTTTCCCTTCTCTGAAAGCTCCCATAGCCTCTTTTCCTGCTTCCTTCTCTCCTTCCCACCCAACAGCCAACCTACATTTATTTCTGCCTGTCTTCCATCATCTTCCCTTCCCCTACCTCATTCTCTCCTTCTCAGCCATCTACCCACCCACCTTTTATCTGCCTTGCATCTTCAGCTATATTTATGATTTAGTTCATTTATACCCACTTGTCTCTACAGCAGCAACAAAAGCAACTTACATTATTTTCCTCTCCCTAACCCTAATCCTCACAACAGTGCTGTGAGGTAAAGAAAGGGGCATGGATGATCTGTTTTTAAATAAGAACAGAGCATGCTGGTGAGAGGATCTAATGTCAGTGCCCTGCAGCTTACTTCACTATTCTCAGGTGCTTGAAGCATTTGTTTCTCAGTCATGTTTACTTCCAATACTGGAGTAGGAGTACAATAAAAATGTTTTAATTACTATAGTGCACAAGTAAGGCAAAGGAACAGGCATGATTTACTATCACCTCCCAGCCCATGCAGATGTGAATGGATGGACTCATACATGAAGGAAACCCTTCCCCCCCAGTATACATTATTTGTCTCCACTACTTGCTCTCTTGTATTGTCAAGTCTGTATTTGCCTGCTGTGTAAATGAGAATTTTACTTGCCTACAAAACAGGAATGGTTTTTCTACTCTCTGCCTGATATTTGGCAGGGAGAGGAATATAATCCTTAACATTTCATTTTAATTGGATGCATAAAAAATGTGCAGCCAGAAATGTTTCCTGTTGAGACCAATGGAACAAACAAGAACCTTCTATAACTGTAATAATAAAAAAATAATTAAACATTTCAAACTAAAACAAATTGAAAAACAAATACGAAAAAATGCAAAACATCCCTTAGAACTAAGCAAGGCTATATTCCTGCATTCAATGCTGCTGTCCAAAGAAACTTTTACATGCTCATTTGGAAACCTTGCAGATTGTTGGATATTTCTCTGTGATTCTCAGCTGGTTTATTTATTTAGAGAATTTACATCCCATATTTATATCATTCATATGACAGCATCAGCATACCCTGAAGAGGGGCAGCTGCCAGGGCTCAGGGCTACTGGCGGGGCCCACTGTCACAGCCCCCCCCATTCACCTCCTCTGTCCCTGCCCATTTGCTTGGCTTGCAAGCACTCCTCCACACATGCTGCCAGCTTCCCAGAATTGATAGGGAAGTGCATGCAGGTAATGCACAGTGGCAGTTCTGTCTGATGGCCATAGCAGTTGCACACACTAGCCAGTGCTGTTGGGGAAAGGGCATGAAAGTGATGCAGGTACTGACTGAAGGTGGTGAGATGGCTTGTGAGAAGGGGAAGGATTCATAGTCAAGTGGGAACACACACAGGTGGATGAGTGGAAAGGGGGCATGAAGGGGGGGCTGTTGGTAGGTATAATGGGGTTCTGTGTACTGTCTGCCCAGGCCCTTCCAAAATCTGGAACCAGCACTGCACTTAAGGCAATTTGATGAGCAAATTGTATTTAAAACTAAGAAATGGCTTTCTCCTTTACCATAAGAACTGCAATAGTGAAAACTGCACAAGAAGTCCCAGCAGAATTCATGTTTTTTTAAAAAATCTACTTATTTTATGATTTTTAAATCAAATGTGCTTAAAGTAGTTATAAAAGTGCCTGTAATGCAATCATTATACATATGTCCCTTTATTAAGCAGAGACAAAAAATGTCACAAAAAGAAGTTGTTGGAGTTATGTGTAACTGCAGCCAACATTTTTGGGTTTTTTCCTTACAATTTCTGGCAACATTTAAAAGCACACATATACCACAGTGAAGACAATAGATAATTTGAAGTTAGTGGGTTTACACTGTATGAAATGTTCATGGCAGTGAGATATAGGGAAGGTTAAATGAAGCAACACATATAAGGAAAAGCATCATGAGAACGATGAGAAATTTTCTAATTGCAATCCTTGAGATATCATATGAATCAACATTCTGCAGCTCTTAACTACCAAGTGAGACCTTACTTTCCCCATATTCTACAAAACAGAACAAATGAGTGAGCAGAGTCAAGAATAGTTTCAATACTATAGGATGACGAGAGTCACCTGTGCCATGTGAACAAACGATAGTTTATTTGGACTCTGTGAATTCACCTGGAATAACTACCATTTTCTGATTGCATATTCATAATCACCAAAATGAGTTAAATCCCAAAAAATGGGCACAGAAATGCTTGAAAAGTCCACTTTTCATCATGCTTTAAACTAGTGATAACTAGTCTGTTCCGAACTGCTAATCCTAGTCTGCTCATTCTGCCTATAAACAAGGAGTTTTGCTCTAGTGATCTTCAACTGAATTCTGCAGAACTTTGAAGAATCTGAGAGAGAGAGAGTTTCTCCCTGTTTTCACACCATCCATTGACACCATAAACACTAGGCAGAGGGAAGTAGTTCCACAATCCTGGGAAATTCTGGGAAATGAGTGCCCATGTTTTAAAACACAAAATAACAACAACAAAATGACAGAGGCTCCTTCAAACCCATCTCCTTTCTGTGCCAAACAATGAAAAATTAGACAAAATAAACTAAAATGAAACTATTCTATGGTGCTCTCTAATGCAGGTAAAGCAAAATATTTGATAGGATATAAACACCTACTTTTAGATTTCTGTACCATTGAAATATTTGACCTTTCTCGTTTTAACAGCCAGACCCCCCTCCCTGGCACATGAAATATAACAAACTGTGCTCGAAATGTCCCTCTGTTTTTAAAGCAGTGCCATATGAGACAAGAAGAAGAAGAAGAAGAAGAGGAAGAAAAGTCTCACATTCTTGGAATCAAACCCGGTTCTCCCAGATTAGAGTCTGCACACTTAACCACTGCACCAAACTGGCTCTCAAGAGGAAGTGGGGGAAATAAGCAAAAAGTCTCACATTCTTGTTTGAAGCCCAGCCATTATCAGCCATAGCATTAAGAGGAACTGCAAACAGACAATCTATCAACTTTGCTGGATCTTACCCTCCTTGTAACTATTGGGTCGATTTCTTTGGGATCTCTGTATGCAAGCATCATTAAATCAGCATTCAGCGTCCTTATCCTCTGAAATCTCATACGAATATAGTGAGCAGAGGTAAATTCTAACAGTGCTGGAGAAGGGTCATCTGCACTTGGCCGTCCATTGATCAAAGACGTGTGAATCTACAATACACAGTAAAATTGAAGGGATCAGATTATATGAATATTCTCAATACTTTTATAACTACCAGGACTGCCATGCAGGTCATCAACAGTGGCACAGACAACAGATATTCTCCCAAAAGATTGCTTTTCTGTCTTTTTCCTCTTCACACTCACCATTCTAACATTCTTCTGTGTAAATTAGGCATTCTGATGATTGTGGTGGTTGACCAGCTGTTCGAACAAAAAGGTAAAAATTCCAGAGATCTTGCTGCATAAATATAGGAGTATGGAGAATAGCAGGTAACAAGTATCACCCTGAAATCCTATAATCCAGAGTCCAGACTAGTATAGTAGGAGGACTCCATCTTAGTATTAGTCAGGTAGTCAAGGAACTTTCATCAACTTATCATGTATATAAAACAAAATAAAATGCTGTCTCACAATGAGGTAACAAGGAAAATATGTAACCCTTCTGCCTAAAAGCTTTTTTTATTACTCCATGAAATCACCCTAAATCCATAAAGAGTAACCAGGGCTTGCATGCAATTAAAAGAAATTCCTGCACATTTATTGAATATCCAAAATAATAGTGAACTGTCAGGACAAAATTTATGCAGCCTCTTTAGGAACCTGCCTGAGGCAGCTTACAAACAAATAAGCATTAAAAGATATTAATTAAAATTCAGCATTAAAAACCCAGCCAAGTATAAAAACATAGACCATAAAAACAGACCAGTGACAGCTTAAATGAATAGGTCTACGTAGAAAACATATTTAATTAGATAGGAGAAATATTTATTTCAGGATACAAGTAAATCCAATCACTACTTGCAAGAAAACATGAATGAGAAAAATACAAAAGAACTTTTTGACTTCTGGATGACTTTGAATGAAGCCATTCAGTTCTAAATAGACTTTCATTTCTCACCACTGGTGGGCAGTTCCCCCCCCCCTTTGTGCTATTGCACTTTTTTACATGTTATTTTGAAGGGCTGCCTTTTCCTTTATCTTGATGCTCAGAATGAGCATGATGTCATGTGGACATGACCTTTAATGGAGGGACTTCCTGTTTTCCAGATGGGGAAAATTTACTGAATTACAATTTCAGAAAAATCCCAGTACAATATGCGCACACACACACACAAATACACACACACAATTATTGCACAGTGTTGCAATATATCATGTGTGTTTTCTTAAACCTCTGCTGGTTCCAGCATGCATAATTATCATTGAAAGCTTCAGCCTGATATAATGCTTTGTTTTAGCTTCAACAGTAAGAGAGAAAATGGAAAAAAATTGAATGACAAATATACTTCAAGGGAATTGAATTTCATATTACACTGTGATTTATTAATAACCACTGCTTTGACAATGAACAATCTCTTTAAATATCTTACAGAAGACAATGCCTTTGACAAATTACTTTTCATCCAAAAATGACAAATACAAGAATTGCACTGCTGTAGGAAATAAAAGGATATATGAAAGAAGCAATTTTAAGTTTCAGGTGAAAGTGGATAAAGGAAGTGATGTATTGAAAAAGGAGAAGTTTTGTTTAACAAGGGTGAGGTGTAGTTGTCCAGCATATAAGAGTATTTGCTAAACAATTCATTAAGTTGACATTTGCTTATATTCCTATGGGAACTGAGTTAGTTGAAGTAGAATATGACATGAAAAGCTCTTGACATTTTACTGCATTTTAAGTAGTTCAGCTTTACACTCATTAACAATCAATGAAGCATAATGTAATAATTTGTTAAATAATTAATGATGAATGTGTTAAGAAAGGAATCTTTATTAGGAATTCTAAATGCTATATAGGGTATTGTATATTGTATATATATTATACATAGCTGCAAACTCATAAATATGCTAGGTGGCATTCCAGAATGCACAAGGTGACTTCAGGATACAGCACCCTCATTTTGCAAGTTACCTCATAAGTGGCAGGGTTGTTGGGTGTTTTTTTTTTAAAGAGTCACCTGATGTTTCTCTTATGTGTATATAACTGATCCCTGATGTGGGTTTCCAGTTCCAATGAGTGGACAGAGAGGGCATCTCTCACTGTAGTTCAGGTGCAATGTCAAGACTGTAATTTGATACTATTCATATGTTTCTGCAAGCAATAGAATTATGCTGTTACAATGCACTTGTTTTTTTATTCTTCATCGTTTCCTTTCTATTGGTACATATTCTATTCTAGGGGCGTAGCCAGGAATTCCTGGATGGTGTGGCAGGGCTGGGGCACTGGGGCACAGGAGTGGTGGCAGGCTGCCTTGACCACTCACCTCCACCCAGGGCTGCAGCCACAGGGGAGCGTGTGTGGCTAGCTGGAAGGCAGGGAAGTGCCTCTCCTCCCTCCCTGCCTCCAGCCCGCCAGCTGCTCTTTGGAAATGCAGCTCCAGCTCTGTGCCTCTTCTCCCTCTTCCTGATGCACGCCTCTCGTTCCTCCCTGCCTCCAGCCCACTGGCTGCCCTTTAGACAGCATGCCCGGCCTTGCAGGCAGCCATTCCCAGCATGACACAGAGGATGAGCAGGCGGGCGGCAGGGGATGGGTGTGGCAGGCAGGCACTGGAGAGGCTGGTGGCAGTGGGGAGTAGCTAATAAGTGAGGGGGTGTTGCCCTGAAATGCCTCGATGTAGCTACACACCTGCTCTATTCATGCATATTGGGTTATTCTAGGGCAGGGGTCCCCAACCTTTTTGAACCTGTGTGTATTTTTGAAATTCTGATACAGAGTACTGAGTGCAACAACAAAATCACTGCTACAGGAGGTGGAGCCAACCATAAAATGGCTGCTGCAGGAGATAGCCAACCACAAAATACCAGGCAGTAAGGTTGTAAGTCTTATTTTACCTCTTCAACATTTCAGGAAGAAGCTCTGTTAAACAGGATGCCTTTTAAAATGAACATTTAAAAAAATATTTTCTTGCATACACACAGTAGCACAGTGAAGATTTTTAATCAATATGTTTCAGTTAACACACATAATCCAAAGATAGTACAGCCATATAGATACAAGTTTATACCCAATACAAAATAGGAGGTACATTATAAACATACCTGTAAATAAAATTCTAAAGCATTTCACATTCTTAAGGTAATCTAGAAAAGGCCTGTTTTGCACAGCACCAGTTGTAGAAATTATGTTAGAAATCACAAGGAGTAGGGCTTTTTTCTGTTGTGGTGCCACAGCTTCTCAGGAGGCACACTTAATTCTGATGCTGATAGCCTACTGAAGAAAACTAATGACGTTTATCAAAAGACTTTGGTGTGATATGTTTTTAAATTGCTTGCATTTGGCTTTAATTATGGGCTACCGTTGTGCTTTCTATTATTTTTAACTGGTTTTATGATTTGCAACCTGCAATGGTTCTATTCTTTGAGAAAGGTGGACAAGAAATATACACTGAGCATCAGTGTTCACTGAGCATCGGTAGCTTGAAGGCTGGAGGCGGAATAGACCAGGAGATAGAATATTTGACATTGATATTCCAATGTCTGTGGGTATAACTGATCCCAGGGCAAACCCGACACAGCTAATTACTGTAGAGTTTGTTTGGGATCCCTCAAGGAGGACTTCAGTGTTTATTCAGGTATATTGCATCAGTACAGAGTTCACTATGAGGAAGATATCACAAAAACAACCATTTGATCCTCACAACAACCCTGCGAGGTAGATTTCACTGAGAGTGTGTGGCTGGCCCAAGGTCGCCCAGCAAGCTTCCATGGCAGAGTGAGGATTCGACCAATAAACACAAACTGGGGAAGTCGCTACCAATGCAGAGGAATATATTGAGAAAATACATCAAATAATACTTAATATGCAAAATCCAAAATGGTACCATTCAAAAATGTAAGTCCAAAGATTACAGTATCAGATATGAAGTCCAGAATGGTACAATACAAAAATTCAAGTCCACAAATTTCCAAAGATTAAAGATTTCCAAAGATTTACGAGGAGTCCGGCTTCAACTTTGTTTCAAGGGAAGACTTCATCAGAAGTGATTTAACACCAAGTTGTATGAACTTCTTATTTATCAGGTAAGCAGATTGTTCTTTATGTTGCTATGTGGTTGTTATCTGGGACTAGCCCTTCCCTTACTTTAGACACTTCTTATTAATGGGCACATCTTTGTAAGAGGCATCTTGGAGTTTAAAGCATATAGTAAACAGCCAAATTCTTCAGGATTTCCTCACAACAGATAAGCCAGATCTACAAACGAGGTCCCAAGGAGATACATGTCCTCATCAGCAGTGTTCCCTCTAAGCTTGGTTAGTGTGAGCTAGCTCACAGTTTTTTAGCCTCCGGCTCACACATTTTTGTCTTAGCTCAGGAAGGATGGCTCCAGAACAAACTAATTTATGCAGCAGCCAAATTGCTCACTCACAACTTTAATGCCAGTAGCTCATAAAGTAGAATTTTTGCTCACAAGACTCCACAGCTTAGAGGAAGCATTGCTCATCAGCGACGAGATGATACAGAACTTTCAAGATGATTCATGTTTTGTCTTGGGCACAATGAAAGCTGAAACCAATGACAGTTACTACATCATCTTAAAATACATGGGCGATTTGAACATAACCACCTCTCCTTGTGCATACTCAGCTTCATCATCTGTCTTGGCACCTGGATACCGACAAAATATCACAAAAACAAGTGAGACTCATCTAGTTACCACAGCATATTGCCTCTTGTTAGGTGAACATTTTGTATCGTTGCTGGTAAGCACACCATGGCTTGTTCAGTGTTCAACAACATGGCTACAACTGCCACGCTGAAACTTTGCAATTATGTGTCATTGGTTGCGGAAGAGCTGCCTATCAAGTATGGCTGCAACAGTTTGGGGGGCAGAAATGTTTGTGATGATAATGCTCTGGGCATCCCTGGAAGCAAGCATCCATTCTGAGCCCGTTCGCGGGGAGGGCGGGGTATAAATATCATAAAATAAATAAATAAATAAATTCTGGGAAGGCCATTCATCTCAGCTGTGCAAGCGTTCTGGATGTGGACT